GGGGGGGGGGTGCCCGAGGGGCGGGTGACACGGGGGCGGTGGTGATGTTGGGGACAGTGGTGACGGTGACAGTGGGGACAGTCCTCAGGGGGAGGTGACAGAGCAGGAGGTGATGCTGGGGACACGGTGACATGGTGACACGGTGACATGGTGACGCGGTGGCAGTCCTTAGGGAGCGGCCACAACTCCATGTGCTGGCGGGGGTGACCTGGGCGGGGGTGAGGGTAACCTTGGTGATCCGGTGACAGTGACACGGTGACACGGTGACAGTCCTTAGCGCACAGCCATGGCTCCATGCGCTGAACAGGGATGACCTGGGGGGTGACAAGGGGAGCACTGGGGACAAGGTGACGCCGTGAGGGTGATGTGGTGACAGTGATGTGGCAGTGACACAGCGGTGGTGACGCAGTGACACGGTGATGGTCCTTAGCATTGGGGGGATGACAGGGACGTTGGGGACAGGGTGACACAGTGATAGTGATACGGTGATGGTTATGCAGTGGTGTGGTGATGCGGCGCTGGTGACACGGTGACGCTGTGACAGTCCTTAGCGTGCAGCCATGGCTCCGCGTGCTGGACGGAGGGGATGACCTGGGGGGTGACAAGGGGAAGGCTGGGGACAGGGTGACGTGGTGACGGTGATGTGGTGATGGTGACACGGTGGTGACACAGTGACGGTGACGTGGTGACAGTCCTTAGCGTGCAGCCACAGCTCCGTGTGCTGGAGGGGGGGGGATGACCCGGGGGGACAAGAGGGAGACGCTGGGGACAGGGTGACTTGGTGACGGTGATGTGATGGTGACACGATGGTGACACAGTGACAGTGACGTGGTGACAGTCCTTAGCGTGCAGCCACAAGTCCATGCACTGGCCAGGAGATGACGTGGCGGGGGATGAGAGGGACGTTGGGGACAGGGTGACGTGGTGACGGTGACGCGGTGACGCAGTGATGGTGATGCAGTGGTGACGCGGTGATGGTGACGTGGCGGTGACGCTTGATGTGGTGACAATCCTTAACGTGCATCCGCGTCTCGGTGCGCTGGCTGGGTGATGACCTGGGGGAGGACGAGGGGGATGTTGGGGACAAGGTGACGTGGTGACGGTGACACGGTGATGGTGACGTGGCGGTGGTGGCAAGGCGGCAGCCCTTAGCACACAGCCACAGCTCTGCGTGCTGGGTGAGGGGGACATTGGGGACAGTGTGACACGGTGACAGTCCCCAGCACGCAGCTGGACAGGGGATGACGTGGGGGGGGTGAGAGGGATGTTGGGGACAGGGTGACGCGGTGACGGTGGCACGGTGACGGTCCTTGTCACGCAGCCACAGCTCCACAGGCTGGCCAGGGGATGACCTGGGTGGGGGATGAGAGGGACGTTGGGGACAGGGTGATGCGGCGACGGTGACGTGGTGGTGACGTGGTGGTGACGGTGACGTGGTGGTGACGATGACGCGGTGCCAGTTCTTAACACGCATCCACGCCCCCGTGCGATGGCTGGGTGACGCCCTGGGGGATGCTGGGGGACAAGGCGACATGGTGACAGTGACGGTGGCACGGTGAACGCGGTGATGGTGACACGGCAGCGGTGACGAGGCGGCAGCCCTTAGCACGCAGCCACGGCTCTGTGCGCTGGATCCGGGGTGAGGGGGATGTTGGGGATGGGGTGACGCCGTGAGACAGTGACGGGGTGACGCGGTGACGCGGTGACACGGTGACAGTCCTTAGCGCGCAGCCACGGCTACGCGCGCTGGACGGACATCCAGAACGACGGCGCCTTCGGGGTCATCAACGAACCCTTCAAGGGCGAAGCCTCCAAGGGGAACTTCCTCGAGATGAAGAACAAGTTCCTCGCACGCCGCTTCAAGGTGAGCGCACGAGGGCTCGCACGAGGGCTCGCACGAGGGTTGCGCTCGCCACGGGGCTGGTGCCCGCGTGGGGCTCGTGCCAGGGCGGCGCTGGTGCACGGAGCACGCGCGGCAGCTGCTTTTGCGCTGGGGGCTTGCGCAGGGGCCTTGCACGAGGGGCTCGCACCAAGATTGGGCTCGTGCAAGGGCCTCGCACGAGGGTGGCTTTCACGGCGGGGGTCTGCTCCCTTGCACCAGGGGCATGCTCGAGGGCTGTGCTCGCACCGGGGCTGAGCTTGCACCGAGGGGCTTGCACGAGGGCTGCGTACACGTGAGTGCAGAACTTGCACAAGGGCTGCGCTCGCACGAGGCTTTCGCACGAGGGCCTCGCACGAGGGCCGGGCTCACGTGAGGGCTGGGCTCACGTGAGGGTTGGGCTTGCACGAGGGTCTGGGGACAACAGCTGCTTGCACAAGTGCTCAGGCAGGGAGGAGGTGGCCATGGAAAGGGGGCGGGGCTTGCACGTGGGCTGCGCACGAGAGGGTGAGGCTTGGCCAATGAGGAGCCTCGTGCAAGAGGCTTGCAGGGGCGGAGGGTGGGTGGTCAGGCCAGCGTTGGGTGCCCGTCATTCTGTGGCCTTGTTGAGGTGTGAGGTCAGAGTTGGGTGCCCAGACGCCTGGGTCCTCTAAGCGATGGGTGAGGTCAGAGTTGGGTGCCCAGACGCCTGGGTCCTCTCTGGGCGTTGCTGAGATGTGAGGTCAGAGTTGGGTGCTGGGACGTCTAGGTCATTCTGTGGCCTTGTTGGGGTGTGAGGTCAGAGTTGGGTGCCCAGACGCCTGGGTCCTCTAAGCGATGGGTGAGGTCAGAGTTGGGTGCTTGGACATCTAGGTCATTCTGTGGCCTTGTTGAGGTGTGAGGTCAGAGTTGGGTGCC